AACTCACACTGAAACAGTTTTCGGATCACCCAATAAGAAGGACAACGTCGCCAGGATCTTCCATGACCTCGCACGCAGCGACCAAGGGCCTGGGAGGGACCGAACGGCCACTTCCAAACGGCGTCCCAGGCCGATCGACGAAGAGCTGTGTCAACTTTGCCGCTAGATATTTGGGCCTGCAGCTCAGATCGAGCTGTGGCCTCTTGGAAAGCGACCGGCCTGAGAAACGACAAGCTTATTTGATTTGTTTGCAAGGCGTTCCACTTTCATCTTTAAATGCGCTGAGGCCACGACAAGGCCACAACCGGCCACACGTGTGGTTTTTTAGGATACGTATCGCCACAAGAGGCACAAACAGGCCAGACCAAGAACGTGCAATTGTTTGGGACAGAATGCTGGAGATCCATTCCATTTGAGGCTCTGTGAGAGGCACTAAAAATGACCAAAAAGGCAGGAGAGCTCAAGTGTCCTTCCGCAGTGGAAGAAAGTTTCTGTCAAAAACGTTCACATGTTGCCGCGCGTTGCTACTCAAAGTTTTAAACACTGGCATGTTGCAGCAGAACTGTGGAGGCCCTTTGTCTGCAGCAACATTTTCGAGCACTTTTCAACCCCCCGAAAACTGGCCTTGCATTTGGGTGGTTGTTGCTACCTTGAGCTAATCCACATCTCAAACTTTTCGAAATTGGCAAACTGTTCCTGTTTTTCCAACCGTTACACCAAAAAGTCAAGATACACGTAAAGACATCAAAGCGCAGCAATTGGAGTCGACAAAGACAGAAGCCCAAACACTCTGGAATCTCAGGATGCAAACACACATCTGCACACAAATATGAACTTCGAAAACCGTATGTCGGATTTTGCAAGAGTTTGTGTTTGAGAGTGTTCATGTCTTGACCATGACTTCTCTGACGACGGAACGAAGAAGAGGACTCCAAGGTTTTATCGCAGGTTGTTTTTCGAAAGCTCGACTCCAGGCTGGTCTGTAGTGAGGACTATGTGCAACCTTGTGACCACCGGGCAATAGGTTTGCCGGTCGGGTCGAGTGACCGATTCCTCTTGTGGCTATCCCGCCAACGGTCCAGGTGTTTGAGGATGCTATAGTTCAGTTACTTCTTTACTGCGAGAGGAGCGCGCTCTCACCGAAGGTGTTAGTGCCCGCTTATGCACCGGGAGCCTCTGCAGCAGGGCACCATCCAGACTTCGCATTGCTGTAAAGGATGAGCCGACCGCCCAGAGGGGATGTAAACGTTTATCCTCTTGGAAGGATGAAGGTGGGCCCTATAGGAAGCACGATGCTACAGACACGTTTGGTTGCACTTGGAGTGTGTTGCGTGTCGTGTGAGTAAAACGAAGGCTCTGTCCGAGCGTNNGCGTTGTGAACAGCAGTGCTTTGCCAAGGGTTTAGTTGAGCTCCAGGCCGTTGTTCGGTCTTTTTCGAGGGCTCAAACCTTCGGATCTTCAAGCGATTTCGTCTCTGTTTTGCATTCTTTTCTCTCTGAAATCTTATTTATCGATCAGCGTTTCTCTTGCGCTTTCATTTTGTTTTCGGTTTGTTTCTTGGCTGTTGAAACCCGTTCAAACGTGTAACTCCTTCTTCTGTGATGTATCTTCTAGCTTTTAATCCCTTTCAAGCAGGTCTGTTCAATTCTACTGCAGTAGGACGGTTCGTCGCACTCTGCATGTCGTTTTTGAACATTTGAACATGGTAGCAAGATTAATTCAATTCCTCCGCTAGCCAGACCATGTAAAGTGCATTTGAAAGCACTCTGCGTCCTCCACAAGATGGTGTAGCCAACCGATGGAAACTGTAAACTTTAGTCCAGTAATGCTTACGGAAAGGCATCTCTAACTTAACTTTATCTTTCTACAACTGTGATTTAGTCGACTGTCACTCCCCAAATTCAGCTCACGGAAAATCGACTTAAAATCTGTCTCGGTTCCAAGTTTCACAATCGGCAATTTGGTCGACTCGGTCTCCAATTCACCCTGCTCACAGCAAAGCATCTTTGACTTGAAAATCTGTCTCTACAGTAACTGCAAATTCAGGTTGTGGCGAGGACCAAAGTTTGTCGCACTCTGTATGTCGCTTCTGGACACGGTACCAACGGAGAAAACTTTTATCCTAGTAATGTGTCTTCGCTTTAAATCTTTGCAAAGCGAATCGTCTGGCTTGTTTGTCGGACATCGTTTCAGTCATTTTCATTTTGTTTCTCCAGAGTTCGCAATCTACGCTTGCTCTAACAGACTCTAACCCGACCCTCGTAATCCAGGTTGGGGTTCGGGCAAACCCTGATCCTAACCTAACCCAGAGTTGGGGTTGGGGACCCTACCCGTGGAATTACATAGCAGTGATGCTGTTCAAACAGAACAGTTTGAGTTTTTCCCCATTCGGCAAAGATTATATCCCGGTGAGGTTCTAAAACAGTTTTGCTATTGTTGCTGTTGCACGGAGCATCGAGTCTCTCAACCTTGGAAAGTTTGTCGTTACTTCAACGCTCTGTTGGACAGGAGCACAGTCTACCGTTGACGATGCGTTTTGCATTGACGGACAAGAACGCATCTCTGTGCTAATTTGATTTTATGTTGTTTGTGTTTGAATGCAGTTTGGAGGACGCAGTTGGAGGTGACAACAAACATGGCCACTTGAAGACGAGTCCCTATGTTTTGTTGACTCCATGGCCATCGAACTTAGTTTCCGTCTTCTTGGCTGCTGCTGGCTTCCGTTCAATGAGATACCTCACTGAGCCTTCGCAGCAAAAGCTGGGTTGGAACATGATGGAAACAGCTTTGAGTTGGCTTAGGCTACGATGCCAACTGCCCAGATTTCAGCCAGTTTATTGTCAGCAAAACTCATCCATGTCGCCCGACTCGCAGAGCCGTGCGTATGGAGGCTGAGGTTTGGCGGCTGCACGTTTCGGGGCTTGTTGGATTTATTGAAGTCTGAAAGCTTGTGGTGAGGTGCGGGAAGATGAGCGGTTCCCCATGGAAGCGACGGGAAGCGATTTTCGCCAGACTGCGTTACTTTATCAGACCGACGGCTGGGAGGGCTATCAGGACAGAGACGCTGTCGGAGTTCTATTGGTTGAACGTGTATGGAAGCTTTAATCGCAATCCTCGTGCCTGGTGGTTAGCTGAGCTGTGCTTCGTCTGGCCACCGAATCCCGGCATCGGACAGGACGATGAAGTCGAGGAGATCCTCACCCGCCCACGGGTGCCGAAGCCTTGGCATGTGCCGGATGAGGAAATTCAGGCCGGCCTCGTCCCTTCCTTTTCGTGCCACAGGATCAAACGGCTGCCTTGTCTGTAAGACTGGAAGGCAGATAGCACATGATAGCACTGTCGTACTCGCGAGTTGCACAGCTTCTCGGCCATCGGCCTTTGCCGGACTTGTCTGCCAGTTGCAGTACTCCGGAACTCCTGTGTTTCAGGCTTTGGTGCGTACGACAGGAGCGCGGGAGGGCGCACCGTGGGCAGAACTTGGAGGAGTTTCAGGAAGAAACCAGGAGATTTGGGTGTGTGGGATAATGGCATATTCGTTTTGTTTTCAGCAGGGTTGAGATGGTCCCAACGGAGATCTGCTGTGTCAGCTTAGTGCACTAAGAGGCCATCAGGCCCAGAAAACGCTTGAGCCCCAACAGCGCTTCTGGGTCGTGTGGAACGCTTAGGTCCCTCAGACCTTGCTCCAGCACGCACGAGTCCGCCGTCCCCGTGACGATGGCGAGGCTTCCGTGAAGTGACTAACTAAGGTCTTTTCTAGCCTTCTGTGGTATTGTATATAGTATACTGTTCTACAAGTTCTATATTGTAGTATGTTATATTATGAGTCGGGCCTGGCCCGACTCTGACGGGCCGGGTGCTTGGTCTAGGAGAGATGCTTGGCCCTTCAGAGGCTTCCAACACCGCTTCACTGCCGGAGGGCATGAGCGCTGAAAGTGTAGAGTATATGTTAAGTGTTAGTTTTTGTATGATATAGTTTTTTTGGTAGGTCAGCACATTATATCACACTATAGTACCTGGTGCCACAAGGCTCTTGCCCAGCTCTTGGAGGAGTATCGACGAGACGAAGCGCACGAGGGCGAGGAGGATGCTGCTTAAATCCAGGGAGTTCTGAAGCATCTTGTAATGTGCTCGACTCGACTTCAACACTCTATAGTATATAGTAAACTATACCAGACTATATACTGCAGAAACACCGCTATGAACTATGATATACTTACCAAATACTATAGAATGCTATAAACGACTGTAATATCCCATGTTGCACAAGAAAAATACCAAAGCATACTCTATGCTAGGATACAGATCTCCTCACGAAATCCTGGGTTTGGACGAGAACTTCTGGTTGTAGATTTACCGCATCCAGTTTGGACTCGTCCACGAAGGATTTCCGAAGTGGAGTGTCGCACAAGGCACACATGTTCCAGCGGCTTGCTTGATGGCTGAAAGGTCTGTCGAAGCCGGCCTCCTTTCCCTTCTCTCTGCTGGTTCCGGTTCTTACTGTCCCACTTTTCCGGTGCCCGGTGCAGGAGATGGCAGAGCCTAGGTGCGAACTCCGGTCTTCCTTGCGGAGACGGTCTTCTCTGGGCCTCGGCAAGAGCAGGCCGCACACCACACGGGAGCGGATGCCGGCCCGTCGCAAATTGCAGGGGCAGATGCCAGGTCCGTTCGATTTGCCGATGCCGAGACGGAAGATGCGCTGGAGAGGCAAGCGGACAAGCTCTCCGAAGAGCCGAGGTCGCTTTTTTCTCAGCCGCAGGCTACTTCGAAATGCCGAGGCCCAGGTTCCCGACACGGGAAGAGTGGAGGCCCGCTTAGCAGAGCTGAGCAGAGGGACCCGGAAGCATCAGAACTAGAACCACCACATCGCAGGAGAAGTCGAAGAAATCTTGGAAGATCTCCGACGAGGACTTCCGAACCTTCGTGCTGTCTCTGGCACGGGAGCAGAAAGCAACTTGGACACCATTAACCGAAAGCGCGACACCCTGGACTGAGTCTGAAAAGCATGTCAGCATGTCATAGAATCTTAATCAAGGACCCTGCATGCATGCATGCCTGCATGGATGGATGGATGGATGGATGGATGTATTTATGCATGTATGTGTGTATGTCTGCGTGTATGTAATGTGCGTAATGAATGTAGTGGATGTAATGCATGTAATGCATGTAATGCATCTATGTAATGCATGTATATATGCATGTGTGTATGCGTGTGTGCATGTCTGCACGTCTGGCTGCCTGTCTGCTCTCTGTCTCTCAGCTGTCTGGCTGTCTGACTGCCTGCTTGCCTGCCTGGCCGGCTGTCTGTCTGTCTGTCTGTCTGTCTGTCTGTCTGTCTGGTGGAAGTATCTAATTTTGTATAATTGTTTGCTTGCTTGCTTGCTTGCTGCTTGCTTGTTTGTTCGTGGTAAGGACCTCATAAACAACAGGTGTCTGCAAAACGGCAAACATTTCGACTCCTGCAACCACTTTGTTCCGAGTAGCCTTGGCAAGCTGTGTACCCCGCTGCATATCCTTGCTGTAATTTACACCTGTGTCCTGATTACAAACCTCAATGATCTTACGAAGCAAACGGCAATTTTTGTTTGCTTGGGGTTTGTATTCCCGCAATTTCTATCCGAACCTCGCTATGAACTCACACCTGTATCATAACCGATCACATGCTGTATTTCTTTGGGCACCTGACAGTAAGCTACTTGGGATCTGCTTTGTGACTTTGGCTGCTGATGTGAGTTCGGTGTTAAGGGCACCGCTATCATCTTTTTTGGGAGTGGGGCAAGATTGGCTTGAGAAGGGTTTGTAGGCACATGGCCAAGCCAGCCGAGTGAGACAACCAACTTCAGGTATGCACATAGGGAGCTGCGTGCATGCGTAGGTGTTGGTGTTGTGTTCGCGACGTCTGTGTATACATGGTCGTTATGCATATGTAGATGTGTCTCTGGTCACTGCCTGCTTTGCATATGTCGAGAAGGATGCACCCCAAAAGCAGACCTTTCCCCCTCCAAACTTGAAATTTGGATGTCGTAGCCCATTGCCTTTGAGTCCACGCCAAGGAGCCTCCGAAGCCCCCAGAGCTTGCAACCTCGGCTTCCGCACCAGTTCTTCGTGGGAGAATGGGTCCTGCAGGGCCCTCACTTTCTGTTGCTGTTGGTTTGGTGACTAACAGGGACCCTTTTCACGGAGATAGTTGTTTCAGCGATTACGAGGGTTTAATTTTGAGTTGGCCTACGCAGTCTTTTGCTTCGGAGGGATGATGATGATGATGATGATGAAGGAATAGGAAGTTGGTGCCTGTGTTGTCACCAGATGCTGGTTAGGTGGTTTCCGTCCGAGTCCTATCATGCCTAGGCGCGGACCGACCAGAAGATTAACGTGCTGATACATTTCGTAGATTCCCAGGACCACCTTTAAATTTCTTTCGCTCCGGCGTTAGCAAGTTTGCATGTCTGTGAAGACAAGGTGTTGTCCTTCGGCAGCTCACTAGACGCATCTGGTTGAGAATTCCATCCGCAGGATGTCATGACGCTTCGCCATGGGCCGAGCTTCTTGTACAGATCTCCTTGATTCTGGCCGCCTGCTCTGTCGGTTTCTCAAGCGACAAAGGAGCCCAGGCTGTACTCATTCCTAACTTTTTAGGTGTCTCTCCGGATCTTCGGATTGGACCAGCTCAACCGCCAAAAGGAAACCGCTTCACGGATATGTGCTGACCTCAGTGGTCAACAGACATATGCAACTAGAAAAGTCGCCCTGTGTCTCAGATACGGCCTTGGCGCAAACACGAAGGGCTTCGCGGAGGCTGGTATGGAGCGTCTCATTGCATTTTAACGACAACTTTTGGAGTTCGTTCAGTTCAAGAAGTTCGACTACCAGCGGCGACAGTGGCTGGGTGGCTTCCGCAAGGAGTGGGTTCCCGCTGGAGTCTCAGTGCTGGCATGTCTTGAATGGGCAGAAACAGAGTAGTAGCAAAGGCCAGCAGTGGCATTGTGTCGTCTGCACGTTCGTCTTCATGACATCTGTGTGTTACACAGTTGAAGCACGTCCCTGAAATGTGCTGGGCCGGTGTTTCCTCAAAGTATGCACGCCCAAGATGGATTGGTGACTGGTTCATGTAAATGCAAATAGACTCCCGGTACCAGAAATCCGCATGAGACTGGCAGACATTTAGTTGGAAAGCCAAGCACATCTTTCTCTATGGTTTGCAATGGATGCTGGTGCGATCGTGCATTGCCAATCAGAAGGCACCGACGCAGACAAGGTGCAGCATCATGCAGATTCGACCGTGTCAGTTTACCTCATGTCTGGTGACACTGGACACTGTGGTCCGTCCGAAGCGCTCCAGGACGCGGCCGACTTTGTACACGAAGTGAAAATGTGCCTGCGAAAGACGCATGGGTTGCCCTATTATCGCACGTCTTTGCTGCAAGTCGGGAGAGGTCTGCTGCCGGAAGGCAGCTCCTGGGACGCTTTGGGTAGACCTTGTGAGCTTCAAGCCGTGGTGGGACAACCAGGTCCTGTTCCTCTTGCGGACTTAGACTTGAGAGCCAGCGTGAAGCCTCATCTTTTGCAGGACTTGTTGGCCAAAGGCTTGGATCCGAACGTGACCGATGAGCACGGAAAGACACTGTCCCACCACGTTCTGGAAAGCTCTCTGTCCATACCAGCATGTCTCATGTTCGCGAAGAGCCCCGAGCAGATCAGACACATGATCCTCACAGCAGACACTCGGAAAGTGACGATGCTGCAGCAGCTGTGGCTTGCATGCGCAGATTTCACGATTGCGGACAAAGGAGGAAAGACCGCCCTAGAGTTGGCGGCAGACTCGAGCTCAGAGGTGCGGAAGTTTTGCACAACGCATTGCATCCCCTCTACCTGAAGGTCCGCGCAGAGCCGGAAGAACCTCAGATTGTTTCAAGGGCGAGCAAGGGCATCCAGACCGACGGAACTTTTGCACATCTTCGGCCTCTGGAAGCCAAGCGCTCGCACGGATGCCTCCACGTTTAAGGAGCTCGGAGGGGAGTAGTTTCAGAAATTCGCTCCGGACCACAAGTTCGGCAGCTTCGAAGTCATCTGAGCCGCACTGATAGGTAGTGCCGCCGACCCTAACAGACCTACAGACCATGGAATTTAAATAGCGAGGCAATGTACGCAAGCTTCCTCCTTTGATCATGAGAACAAGTGCTTCAACAGATCGCTGGCTTCTGCCTTGCGCAAGCAGCAGCTAACGAATAGCACTGGCACTCGCAACCCATCTCTCGACCCATCGGAAGTAAGGCCGCTTTTAAGGAAGGCAATTTTGAGGGAGCACTCCTTGACCAGGCTTGGAAGGCTTCTGCCCGTAGTTTCAATCGACAGGGTGGAAAAGGCACCCTGTGCTTTGAGGGAGATCAAGTTCAGTTTACTTCGAGCTGCAGCAATGTACATGGTGCCTGTGCGCCCCTGCAGCCAGACTTTATTGTGCATTCCCGTCCTCGCACTGTGCACCGAAGATGTTCCGCCATTTTTTGTTGGCCTAACCGACGAAGTGTCCGTGACGCTTCGAACAGGACAATCCTGTACAGGAGATGCTCGGCGCACCCAGCTGCTGGACTAGTGATGCAGGAATTGCCGTGATTCGGAATGCAAGCGGGCGTTCCTACAACCCCGATAGTCCAACTGTAAGCTCAACGTAGAATTTACAGTATTCCATAACAGCACCCTTATTGCTTATTCACTTTGGCCCCCTGCCTTCTACTGACCTTGCCTTAGCAACGTTTGCGGCTTGATTAAGGCGTGGTCCGAGTCTTTGAAGGGCATCGTGCACGACCTGACGGGGATGGAGATCGCCAGGACGGAGACATTCAGAATCTCAGTACTCGAGAGTCTCATGATGAGAATGTTTGTTTGGCGCGCCGGGGTTGGGTTTGCAGGCTCCAGTTGGGTTTCCTTTCAAGCTGCGAATGATTGCTGGCCTAAATACCTAAAGCTGTTGTTGTTCTCCATGTGCCGAGCTTGCAGCGATGCACTCGGGCTTCTCACCTGTAAGACCGGCACAGTTCCTCGAAGGTCGGCGTTTACATGCAAAAGCACAGAAAGGCATGAACACGGTACTGCAGACGTGTACGCAGCGCGTACACATGCACATATAGACGTAAAGCTGTACCATGCATGTTTTACATCTAGACATTTTGAGTCTTACGAAGCACTGTGCGGCCTGTTATCCATCTTCGCACCTTCAGGCAGCGCTTCTTCTGGAGGAATGTGCCGATGAACAGCCGCGGCCTCGGAAACAGAGCTCCGGATTCTAAAGGCTCCTGTTGAGTGCATCTCTGATTCGATCTCCCGGGCCGGGGTCGTAACGCCCGTAGCAGCACACCCGATTCACGAAATTCCAGAAATTGGAAGCCTGCCAAAAGCTTGCGCCCTTCTTGGACAGACGACAACCTTACACTGCGGTCTTGGGGGGCCCGGAGCTCGGCAATGTCCTCGTTATCCTTGTTGAGATTTGCTCGTGCTCTTGGGCAGAGGTGGTCAGGGTTGGATTGACACAGCGTTCAAGGAGCAGTTTTTTTTACAGGCACTGCCGCCATTCAGGTGCCTGTTGATTTTCGGAGGCGTTTTTGAGGTGTGCTTGCTTTGTTCTTCTCTCTACTGAGGCTCCGAAACATTCACCATTGCACAACATGTGGGTTTTTCCCAACGAGGCCCAAGGCTGGCGCACAGTTTAAGGTTCAGGGGGCGATGATGATGACATAGATGAATGACGAATGATTAATGGTACAGTTAGAGCCAGGTTTGTCCATATGACTGTCGTCGTGGTGTCGTCATCGCCGTGGCTTAGGGTCGAGGCTCTTCTCGTTCATGTTCTTGACGCTGTTGTACGTGCAGTTCTTGTTTGACATCACAGGTCAAAGACGGGGACGGGCACAACTGACGCGTTTGTCCGGTTAAATTCAGGACATAGGAAGCCGGCCATGCCTTGAGGAAGGCCCGTGAGGGATGCACTCACGTAGGGCCGCAGTCGGAGGAACGTTTGCAACTATCACAACAATTTACTACATAAGCTGCGCCAGGAAGGAGAGTAGCAACTGCCATCTGCGAGCTCCTGCCAGGCTGCAGTTGCGCTTTCAAGCAAAGATTTCGCCACAGCAGCTGGATGTGATGCGGAAGGTGGGGCGTCGGGTCTTCTGGGCGCCTGCTGCAACTTATCTTGTGCAGGCTTGCCAAGCGGTGACAGCATCCGCTGGTGATGTGGAGAGGCCCAGAATGGAGTAGAAACCATGTTTGAAAAGGGCTCTATCCCTTCGGGAGAACAGTCCAAAGATGCCACTGGATCCTCGTCTTGGACTCTTGCTTTAGTTCATGCACGGACTTTGTGCTAGAATTCCTGTAGGTGACGTAGTTTATAACAGCCCCACGTGTCGTTAGTCTGTCATGAGCAATGATGGTGGGATGGAGCTCCGTCGCTGCGAGGTCAATCGCTTCAATGATGGATCCTTCCCTGCCTGTGAAGGCTGATGCCCAGCTGCAGATGGGAGATGGGAGCACAAAGAAAGGCCTCCTGCCTCATCTGGCCGAGAGCTGAGGAGATGGAGTCGTCGACTTCCTCCGACTTCTTCAAGCCAAACCGCAGGCCTGGAGCAAGAGGGAAGGGCATAAGCTGTGCTCCCAGCGACTCCCAGTGTCAGAATCCTCCGGTGACGCGCCAGTAGGATCCCAGAGCTTCTGCTCTTTTACGACTGTGTACTACGATCCGCCGCCCTCCGCCGTCTTCAGGCAAGAAGAGGCCTCGAAGTGCTGGCCTTGGCTGCAATTCTGCTCTTGGGCCCCAAAAGGGTTCGGATGGCTCTTCGAGCCTGCGGCGAGGCCTGCGCCGAAGCGAAAGAAGCCCGAGAAGACGCAAGTTATGCAAGGAGCCTAACTGGGAAGTTCTCCGATGCAGCCGCGAAAAGGAACGAAGCTTGTTGAGACGTGGAAAGAGCGCTGATTGAGCCAATGCCGGAGAGCCCGAAGAAGTGAAGCGAATCTTGTGGCGTCGGGGGTGTTGGGGCTTTGTCTTGAGGGAATGAGAGGATCCGATGTTGTGACGACTTACGCCTTCGAGGCTCAAAGAAGAGGCGACCAGTGCAAACCTCCGAAACAGCAGGCGCCTTTTGCTTTGTGCTTGCCGTGTGCAAGGGGAAGCGGTCTGCAATCTGGCTCCTCCGTTTCCATTTCTTAGACACTTTGGGAGTTAGCAACTGTGGGGAGGGATCCCCCGAAGAGTTCTAAAATTCCCCGAAGGCCAGAGAGGCAGCTTTCCTGAGACTCTTTGGAGGCATCTGAAGCGCTGTTCCTCGAAGGGGGATGTCTGGATGATGCCTCGCTGGATCTCGCCCCTCGGCCCTCTCGGCAATAAGGGCTCTTTGCAACAAGGGATCTTCTGAGAGGAGTTTCGTCGCACTGTGGACGGGAAGCCAGCCTGACCCCAAAGCCACATGCAAAGCAAGCCGCAGCTGAGGCAGCAGACCTCAGGGCACTTCTCCCCCACGGGCAACCCCAAGACGACGGTGCTGAACAGGGACCCGTTTGGGGGTGCAATCGTTCCGCGAGACATCAGTCCATAGCACCTTCCTGTGTCGTTGCTCTGATTAGAGGACGAATCGAGAGTGTGTTGTCTCTGGGGACAAGCGGCCAGGAGCCAGAGAAATTCGCTGAGAAGAGCATCTTCCTCTCGGATGCGTTTGGCGCGGATGTCAGGTGCGGGCGCATACACCGAAAGAACGCAGCATGCGTGAGGTGAAAGCGTACAGGTGTAAAGCGCAAAGTCTAAAGGCTTCCTGAAGCCGAACACAGCGAGCAGTGCCCATTTGGAGGCGTGTTCGCCAGTCGGTGACCGGGAATCCGCTGTACACGAAATCAAACAGTTAAACAGAGGCTTGGCAGCAGCAGCCCAGCACGGAAAGAGCGATCCGATTCCGAGCTCGGCTCGACTGAGGCTGAAGTTGGTAGATCGATGAGCCACACCTGAGCCCCTGAGCCTGTGGCCTGCATGAATTCGGCGCACGGCTTTGCAGGTGCCCGGTGCCCTCAAGGAACCCGCCCCAGCCCCCTTTACCCCGACCCTTCACCCCGCAGACCCAGCGCGGAGGCCCTTCAGTGAAAGGCTCTGACCCGCAAAGCCTCGGTTCCCTGGCCGCGCTTCGCATCCCGAAGGGATGTGGTCCCTTGGCTATGTACAGCTACAGCGAATTTTTGACAAAAGGGACTGGCAAGGACATCGCTCAAGAGCCTTCCCAAGCGGAAGGTACAAAGAGCGTCAAAGAGCTTTGGATCCCAAGCAGCACTCCAGGCCAAGCCTCGTGCCGTGCATCCATGCCATGGACGCTGAAAACGAAGAGGAGTCAGCGGAAGCTCTGCTTCTCCTCGAGTTTCCGCGCCTTCTGCGGGGTTTTATTCAAGAACTCATCTGCCGTTTGCCACTCGCGAGCAGCCTGCACTATTTCGGGGGATCTCTTCTCGACACCTGCGAGGAGCCTTGAGCCCGGCCACCATGAAACACCCCATGATCCAATTATCCCATAGTTTCAGTTCTCACTCTCAACTCGAGGCCATGGCCGAGGAGGAGGAAGCGAGCTGGGACCAGACCCTTGATGAGTGGCTCATCAGTGAGGCAGGGAGGCATCCGTCTCCGCACGAGCGGTTTTGTTTTCATCCTTGCTCAGGGCTACTGCTATGCCGCCGGCATGGCCCAGCTCGAGGATGGCAACTTCTATGCCGCCGCACCTGTGGCCGACGAGGTCCCGCGAAAATGAAGATTTCGTGCCTGCACACAGCTCGGGACCCCTTGGCAATCACAGGCTGGATGGGGCTTCATCTTCAAGGAGGACCACGAGCAGATGATCATGCAGGATGTCACCTGGCAGCAAAGATGTACGGCTCCTGGAAACTGACTGTCCAAAACCGTTCGATGTCTTCGCCAAGGACATGACTGAAAAGAAGATGGCAATCAACGAGGCCATGGGTGCAGCATCATCATGCCACGCGTGTTGCAGCACTCGAGACTCGAAACCGGTTTTCGGGGCAAGGGAACCGCCTTGAAGTTCCTGGTCGACAACCACAAGGCCCCCCCGACCGGCCTCTGGTTCGGCGGAGAGACGCCTGGCCAAAAGCGGATCGTTGTGCTCAGGATATCGCAGGATGCCTCTGGGTTGTGCCCAGGAAATATGCAGTTACCCGTGTGGACAAGAACTTTGAGTCCGGAGATGCGTCGTCGCCGGCTTTGCTCGTTACTGACCCTTCTTCTTGCGATCATCTTGTCGAGGTGCAGAAAGAGACTCTATGTTTGGTAGCTTCTGTAGCAGCCTTTACAGTTGGCTTCCTAGGTTTGTGTTCATCTTTGCGGCCAAGCCCAAGAAGGCTCGATCAGCGGACGCGTGGCAGCTGGCGAATCGCAACGAACATCCGAATATCAAACTCACCTATCTCACTCCAACCTAGTCCCGAAGTTGAGAGGGCATTTTATTTTCGAGAGTTGCCTGCCTGGCTGCCTCCAGGGCGTGTCCATTGCCATCACCAAGACCCAGGTCATCTGTGCATTCTATGACGAGCCTCGTCTGCTGTCTGTCGGCCTTTGGGGATCAGTGACGCCCCAGCTCCCACCCCGAAGAAAGACCTCAGGAAGAGAAGGGCCAAGTCGGCGGCAACTGCACAAAGGCGGGCGGATGGGCGACGCGAGGCTTGTGAACTTGAGGGTCAAGTCCTCGGTCTCGGCGTTCTGCGGAGGCAGTCGTCGCCTTCGCAGAGTACATGGTCGGCTTGGGCTACTGAGGGGCAATTCGGAGATCCGAGGAGGTCCCAGACCCTCCCAGCTGGGTCCCAGCTATGTCTCGCACGATCAACCAACTTTGGACGTAGCAGTGCATACTTGCTTTGCTTTCTCTGGGACTACTCTGTCCAATTCACCAGCCACCTGTCATTGCTCGAACCTAGTCTTACAGCAGGCTAGTGACCGTACTTGCAAGCCGAAGCTTTGGCAGTCTAGTTGAGCACATCACCGCGTGGTTGCTCCCACAGTTGGTGGGTGGCCCCCGCGTGATGCGGGATGCATTGAAAGCGAAAGCTGAACTCCACGGCTTTCCTAAGTTTGCTCCTGCCGAAGGTCGCCATGACACGCGCTGACGCTGATTGATTTTCCTTTTTGGTGCGCCTTCGATGAGGATCGTAGAAGCCGACTGATGAGAGAGATGCCCGCGGTCTGGAAAGGAGAGTGGAGCTAGAGTGACGCCGCTCAGCGAGGCAAGCTAAGCCGCAGTGTCACAGGCCATTCCATGCCTTGGTCCTTACTTTCTCGGCTTCCAGCAATCGTCGCCATCTGCCTTGACACGGTGCCTGTGGCACCACTCGTACACGCGCCTGGGGGCCTAGCCTGGCAGCCTTTCCAAATCTTTCCAAGGTGTCCTTGTCCTTTCTCTCTGCCCGACAAGATGCTTCATGTCGTTTCATGTCGTTTCATGTCGTTTCCTCACCTGAGGCCATGGCGGAAGAGGAGGAAGCGAGCTGGGACCAGACCCTGGATGAGTGGCTCATCAGTGAGGCCGCCAGTCGCAACAAGGGGCACCCGCGAGACCTGCATCCACCTCTCCTGGCTAGTAGTAAAGGAAGAACATTGGCATGTCGGAAGCTCTTACGTCCTGTCTGATCCCTCTCTAGGACAGCGAGTGATTTCGAGATTTTTAAAGATTCTCCGGCGGCTGCAAATTCTCCCGAGCAACTTCCAGCTTCTGAACTTAAGTTTTTCTTGCCTTCTGAGCCCCCTGCAGGGCTACTGCTATGCTGCTGGCATGGCCCAGCTGGAGGATGGCAACTTCTATGCCGCAGCACCCGTAGCCGAGGAGGCCGGCGACGTCAACGCGCTTGCAGGGGGACAACAGGTCGAGAAAGCCAGCGATGAGAGTGCAAGCAAAACAGATTGGGAGCACTTTCAGAAGAGGATGATTGTGCTGCTTGCCGCGACTGTCCATGTTAGGCCGGGTGGGGATTCATCTACAAGGATGACCACGAGGAGATGATCATGCAGGATGCTGCTCGGCTCCAGCTGGGCAGTGGCTTGGCTTGCCCTACTCTCGGAAGCGTCGCACGAAGCCTAAGGACATGACAGAAAAGAAGATGACCATCAACGAGGCCCGGGTTGATTCCTTTGAGGGCCCAGGGCTACTAGGATCCGTGAGATTGGAGGTAAAAGGCCGTGTTCATTATGAGTTCTTGTTGCTGGAGGTTTCGGGCCCGTGCTCGAATTCTAGACCCTCTTAGCCTGACGCACAGCATGGAGCAAGCAGAAGCCTTCGCGGAGCGAGGGAACCGCCTTGAAGTTCCTGGCCGACAACCACAAGGCCCCCCCGACCGGCCTCTGGTTCGGCGGAGAGACGCCTGGCCAAACGCAGGTGAGTAGGGGTGGAACCCTGCAATCAGGAAGTCAAACTAATGTGAGATCCGAAAGTCCGCTTTCTGCACACCGAGGAAGTATGCAGTCACCCGTGTGGACAAGAATTTCGAGTCGGGAGACGCCTCGTCACGTGGTCTCGTTCGTCTGGATTGATACAGGGTCTGTAGCTGTTGGGAAGTCTTCTTTCCTTGATGAGTCGCACCAAGGTTTGTCTTCATTTTCGCCGCCAAGCCGAAGAAGGACTGCCAGGGTTGCATTGACGCCCGCACGAATCGCAACTTCTGCCGTGGGATTCTGTGCTCAGGGCGTCTCCGTAGCCATCACGAAGAGCCAGGTGATCTGCGGATTCTACGATGTCCTCGGCCCAGCTGGCAGGAGGAAGAAACACCGTCTTAGCAGCTGCCGCCCCTCGAAATCTGAGGAAGAGAAGGGCCAGGTGGGCGGCAACTGCACAAAGGCTCGGCTCGCGACAAATCCGGAGAGCCGCAGAGACTGCAAGCTCGGCCTGAGGCCGTTGTCGCCTTTGCGGAGTACATGGTCGGCTTGGGCTACTGAGGCTGAGACCCCTGTGTGCAGGAAGCCCCGCATCCACCAGCGTCGTCTTCGTCGTTCATTGGCATCGTCGCTGTTGCAGGAAACAGCATCAACTACTTCCGCTGCTGCTGCTGCTGCTGCTGCTGCTGCTCCTGCTCAGGCTGCTCATGCTCCTCCTCCTGCTGCTGCCACAACAACAACAACAGCAACTACTACTGCTTCTACTTCTCTATGCTGCTGCTGCTGCTGCTTCTGCTGCTGCTGCTGCTACTACTGCTGCAACAGCTAGTTTAACTTTACTTCTGCTACTACTTCTAAGCTTTCTTTCGCTATTACTTGTTGTTTTACTTCGACGAAAATTTCTACTGCTTGCCACTATTTCTACTGCCACTGCTGCCCCTGCTCCACTTCATCACTTCCGCTGGCACTCCTGTCTTGCTGATCACGTGTATGCCGCGTAATGACCCATGAGATGACTGGCAGGTCCAATACGCATCCTGGTTCGGTGAGTAACCGAGCGGTTTGTGGCATGACGCACCGCAAGAGAAGATTGCAATAGTCTTCCTAAGTCTGCGCTTGCCGGATTGAAGTCACAAGATGTGCAGCGTCTGACACCGCCTTCGATTGTTTGGCTGTTTTCCTGTCTGTTGCCTCCAGCCTGCAAGAATCGTAGACGCACAGAGACTGAAGCTGGAGACGAGCCCGCGCCAAAATGACTCGGCGATGCTTGAGATGGATGGATTCGCTGGAACGGAGCGCCGCGGTGTAGCCAAAGTCTGCAAGGTTTCACAGGTCCCCTGGTGGAGCAGCTGCCACGAGCTTCAAACGCCGCGTCCACGGCGCCGCAGTCCTTGTCCTTCTAAATCTCAGCCCCTAATTAAAGTGGTCGTAGGGTCGTAATTAGGGTCGTAGGAAAGTGGTCCGAGCGATTTTTTGCCAAGCGACCGAGCCATGTCCTGCCTTCCGCGGGAGACGCTGTCTCATTTTGAGCAGCGAGAGCAGGACCGTCATCCGTCATGGCCCATGGCCTTGTCTGGCGGATTCATCCAAGGGCACACATGGCTACTAGTCGATGGTTGCCTTGCTGATGAGCAACGATCAACAGGCTTGCAGGAATTCCTCTCCCCTGCATGCTTGTGTGCCAGGAGATTCTCGCACGCAACGACGAAATTGAGCGGAAGATGCTCGGCAGCAGCAGGCTCAAGGGACTTGCGTCCCGCCATTGCCGACTGGGTTCAAGGGGTCATGCCCGTGAAGAGCAGGAGCCGATGTAAATTTTGGGCTTTTTTTCTGAGCCGTCCCGAGCAATCTGAGGAGGGTCCAGGCGTTGGACCAGGCGGCCACCTGGAAATGGGTCGGCATTGGTTTTGGGAAGCTTAGGACGGACGAAAACACACCTAAGCCTAAGCCTAAGCTAATTCCGACCCCGAGGATGTCCGGGCTGAAAGGCTCAAGTCGGCAAGGATGGGCGGAGTCATGGCGGAACGAGTCGAGCGACTTTGAAGCCACATTCTTGCATGGGATTTCTAAGAGATTCGCTCGTTCGTAGAGTCGTAGAGCGTCTCTTCCTGAGTCAATGCCCCCAGCAGGGTCAGGGTGCGCTTGCACCTGCTCGGGGAAGTAGAATCGCAGGAGTGTTTTCTTTCTGTCTCTCCCTTCCCTGGACGACCATGTCCTCTCCTGCCTCTTCGAAGCCAAAGCAAACCTCCATCAAGCCATGCCAGGCCTGCAGCCCACTCGCTGGCCCCTTCCTGTAGGGGGAAGCAGTATGAGCACTTTGCAAACCATGTGCTTTGAGGCCTTGAGATGGAATTTAGCTAGAATCTAGAAGCCAAGAACGCACCGCCGCAAACGAGAGGGCAGCGGAGAGTGCAAGAAGGAATTCAGCTCACTGCAAGTCTTTTCGACGTTGTCGTAGTCATGTTTGTCGTAATCATCACTACCATAAGACCGCGTAATCTTACTGAGGGGCAGGAGGAGCAGATGACCTGACATCTTTCACCATGTGCCCAGAAGCCCTCGAAGTCTTGATAGCGGTCACCGATAATCATCGATGGGAAAACATTGACGCAAAAGAGCAGCTATGCTAGTGGCACTAGCTGCTAGCTTCGACGGAGCTATCAAGAACAGCAAGAAAGCCAACAAGACAGTCATTCCTTAAACAGCTCAAGAACAAGTCTTTTCACCCACGGCGGTCACAGCCCACAGGCCTGCAACGCGATCAGGGAAGCGGAGCTTGCGACCTCAGTTTCGCAGGGAGGGCTTCGGCTTAGTAGGGCGGTTACTTTCGTGATATGAGTGCCTATACCCTTGCTATGATTAACGTTGTTCTTGGTTCTTTGAGGAGTTACTGTTCTCGCTTGCTTGTTGGGAAATATTTTCGAACAGTTTCGAGTTTCGGCGTGCGGTGCGGGGTTGGGATTGGAAGTGTAGGGTTTGGGGAGGTTCGCTGCACGAGCTTGTCCTCAAAGGACTTGGTTTCTGACATGGGTTTTTTTACGGTTTCTCGAGGACAGGCATGACGCGCCTCGGCAGTGACCTAGGTCCTGCACTCTTCGGCCTACCCGTGCAGAGGCGAGAAGTGGCTGACACTCACATGCTCATGAGTGCAACTCCATTAGCTTCAAGAGATACGGCTGCTTTTGCGTTTCCGCGGGGCCTTGCAGACTTCGGATTTTGATTGGAGAAACCCTGCAACAGAGCCTCTGCGCTACATGAGGTGTCGTCGGCAGCGGCCGAAGCTGCCACTGTCGAGCTGCCGAGCCCTCGCTTTGCGAAGTTGTTCAAGCTACAGCCTTTGGCAATTTTATTTTTTGTGATTCAAGCGTTTCGGGCACCTGAGTGATTTGCATCGGAAGCATGCCGGTCGCATAGCGGCGAAGCCTCAAGCTGCAACAATACCTCCAGTCTTGAGGTTTGTGTGCTCTCCGAGCCCTCTCTGAAGCACCCAAGGCCCAAAGGATTTCACAAAGCAAGGGACCCCCCAGAATCAGACCCTAATTGCTGTCATCTTGAATCTTTTATTGTAAAGAGACCGCTAAATCAAAGGCCCCTAAACCCTGAACAGTCTGTTTGTGCACCTGTTTGAGAAGAACTCTCCTTCAGGACCGGACACGTCTGCGGAGACCCCGAAGCTGCTCCGATCCTAGCCGGCCGCTGCTCGCTTCCCATCGTGCGAAGAGAAGCGTGTCAGGTGATCCATAAGTTGTGTGTGTGTGTGTGCGCGCGCATAATGTACCTTTGTACATATATACATAGATGACTAAGTTAATGTACCAGTATGTCTGTGTGTGCATATGCATACGCATATGTATCTGTGTGTGTATGTAAATGTTCGCGTATTTGTCGATGTCCATGTATATGAATATGGACGTGTGTATGTATATGAACTCACTTATATAAAACCAGTATATACAAATGCATGTATCTAGTTCATGTGTATGTATATATACATATATGCACACATTCATACATGCATATTCATGTATGCTGTTTCATGTATGCAACCTCAAATATAAATTTGTAAATGCATCAAAACAACAAGTTTAATACCACGACAAATAAGCAAACAGGTAAGTAAGCACATATACATATCAACAAACAAATCGACGAGTTAATGCAGACATGACTAAACAAACGAATCAGTAAATCAAGAACAAAAAACAAATGCATAAACAGATGCACCAAGAAATGAATAAAGACATGGACAAGTTCAACTGAACAGAAAACAAGTACACAAATAGATCACAAACAAGTAAGTATATGCAGAAACAAAAAGAAACACATGAATGAAAACGTATGTGTATATGCATGGACATACATATATGTATGTATGTATGTATGTATGTATGTACGTAGGTATGCATGCATGCATGTACGTGCATACAATGCAGGCCTAGTATACAAATATATACATAAAGCATGAGCCTTTATACATGTGCGTGCTCATGTTTTGAAAAGACGTGCGAAGATATGCACATTTTCTGCATATGCTGATGCATATGTTTTGGATTCACATCTATGCATATGTGTAGAGAGGCATGTTTGCCAGCGCATGGATTTCTGTCGCGCATTTTGCCTGTGTTCAAGGCCTTCGGGCCGCAGGGTGGGTGGCGTGTTGGGAGTCCACTTGGCCACCGTCAACATCTTGACAATCATCACCATCATCGTCTTCACCATCCTCACCATCATTCTCATCACAGGCTAGCACTACTACCCACTGCCGTTGCTGCTGCCGCGACCGCTGTTCGGGCACCATTTGCATGAACCTGTTCCGTTCCTCAGGGCCGTTTTGGCCGAAGGGCAAGAGCCCGCAATGACGGTGGCTAATCTCCATGGATGCAACTGGAAGAGCTGATCGCGTGAGAAGACCCAACTGAAGGAGCTGCGTGACTCGAGCCCATGAAGGGCCCGAACACATACTCACAAACCTCCCACTCAAGCCGGAGACAAACGAAAAGACACACTCGGCAAGTTCGGCCCAAGGGAAAAAGCCCAAGACCTCGGTCTTGGATGATCTCTCCACAGCAAAACCGATTCAATCGCGAACCCGAAACCCTACACCCCTAAACGGGTCATCTAAGATGTGAAGAAGTGCAGAGCCGCCAGGCCGCGGCCCTTGGGGCAGCGCGCGGAACTCGGAGAAGCGCTTGTTGGTTGAAGAAGAGGAGAGCATCATGATGTTGAGTGTCAATCTCAAGAGAAATAGGTCATCAGACTCCGCCTTGCCGTTCCCTGTTTTGCTTCCCACCGTTGAAACCTGGCCGAGAAAACCCAACCCCCAGGCCATGGAAAAAAGCCCTTGGTTTATGTTTTGTGGTCAGCCTGAAAGCAGACAACCAGAACCTTATGCGAAAGCGTTGAAACCCGTGCCCCCCTGAGCCCCAAAGTGCCTCGCCTAAACCGTGGAGGCTAGGCCCCAAAAGCCTGAACCCTAAAGGCCCTAAAAGGTAAACCCAAAGCCCCCAAACCTGGGAGGTCCGAGCCCGTCATCGGCGCTGTCGCAGAGGAGGTGCCGGCAA